CAGCTCAAACCAGCAGCCATGCTTCAAAACATACCTAACCAGCATTTGCTGTTTTTTTCAATAGGGATATGTGAGGATTTCTTACTTTCTGACAGATGGTGTCCTCTCAGTGTATTTCATTGAGGCTGTACTCAGTCTTTGCTGGCGTGAAGATTTTTTCATTGAATTACTGCGTTTCTGTTGTGAAATACAAGGAGATTTTTTGTTTTAATTGCTCTTATTAGATATACAGATATACACTGAAAGTCAAAAATTTGAACACACCCACTCATTTTCTATTATTAATATTTTCCACATTTTAGAGTAACAGTAGTCATCAAAACAATGAAAAAAACACATCTGGAAATATGGGAATTATTTTATGACCAAAAATGTCTTATAGCTTCTTCAAACTAAACTAAAACTAACCATTTAAAAACAATAATAATAATAATAATAATAAAGTATATATTTTATATATTGCATAAAACTTTAAACTATATATTATATAAAATCAATTAAACAAAATAAATAACATTAACACAAATAAAAAAATATATACAAAATCATAATAAAACAAAACTAAAATATTTTCATTTTATTTAAAGTTTTTTTGTAATTTTGTTGTTTTTTGTTGTGCGTTTAGTCATTTATATATTCCACTTCAATTTAGAATTGGAAAATATAAATATAAAAATAATTGGTAAACTTACCAGAAAGTTAATGTCTCGGTCATCTCGTAGATGTTTATTCATTTCTCTGAAAAAGAACATTTGATTTAAGATTTTAGTTGTTTGTCTTTATCTACAGCATCTGTGAGCATGTACCAAGCTCACCTGAGTAGATCCAGCTGTTTCATCAAGCTCTGTTTTTCTCTCTGCAAGCCTTCTGTGATTCTGTACATCTCCCTGTGAGGGGGGAAAGTATTTGTGTTTATGAGAGACTCAAAGACACTGGTTGGATCTCTGTCTGTGTGTAATAATTGCCTAGACTGACATCTCTCTTTCCTGCTGTAGTCGAGAGGCCTGCTCCTGCAGAATCCCCAGCTGCTCCTGAGCCAACACTAGCCCCTGGCAGGTGTGCTCAAGTTCACGAGACAGCTCCTCGTTGGTCATTTTGAGTTTAACGTTCTCCAGTCGACTCACCTGGTGTTCGCTATGAAGGTCACGACATTGTCGCTCCAACTGAAAAAATAAAGACACAAAGAGAGTGACTTGAAAGGTGTGAGTTAGAAAGATGTGAGTTGCACAAAAGTATAAGATTGTGTAAGATTATGACTTGTTTAATCGTGGCACTAACCCTTCTTTGTTTTTGGAAAAGCTGCTCCAATTCCTGTTCTTTACAGCGGAGCCGCTGCTGTAGGTCTTGACTGCGCAACTGCAGATTTTCAGAGTCCTGAAAGAAAGAGTTAACATAGTTAATTTCAGTTCAGACAGCCTTAATCTTAACAACGCACCATAATCTCCAAGCCAAGAAAAAGTGATAACAAATGCACAAACTGAAACAGAAACTATAGTTTGAAACTAAGTAGACTAGGCAATATATCAGCTATATGAACTGCACACATACACTAGTGTTCAAAAGTTTGGGGTTGATAAGATCTTTTTTTAATGTTTTTGAAAGAAGTCTCTTATACTCACCAATGCTGCACTTTTCACTATCATTACAATTTAAAATAACTGTTTTATATTTAAATATATTTTT